AACTAAAATAAAATCTGCATAATTTTTTATCTGTGTGTCGTTAATGAGTTTTTAATATTTTCAGGATAGGTTAATACATACAAATAGGTTAAATTTTCATTCGCGATTGCATTTTTTATATTTTAATATATGAATGAAACTTTACATTAATATTTACAATATTACGTTTTTTTTTATGATATTATGCATAATATAATTAATAAATACATTAGTAAAGAGATAATTGCGAGAAGTCGGTATAATGTTTAGAAAGTTGAAATGACAGCATTTCCTCCGTAGTATCAGCTTGATACTACGGATGTAGTTTCACAGCGAATGCATATCATATATCCTTTATCAGAGAAATCTTATTATTTAATCTACTTATGTGCGACAGAAATAACTATATATATTTCTGCATCATTCGCAAAATTTTGCATATCGACGTTCTTTAATTCGCTGATTATTTCAAAGTTGATTTTTAATTATATTTTTTGCATGGATTTATATCGCTAAATCGGAATTTTTTTTTTAGTAATGTATATTACAAATTAGTCAATATATTTTAACGAAATGTAAATTATTTATAATACGCTTTTATTTACATAGATATGTTTAAAATTTCAATCTGCAACACTGAAATGGAACGTGATAACAAAAATATTTTCACGTAACCTAGATCAATGAAATATAATTAAATTCAGTCTGAGATTGCGAAGTTTGTCCAGCTGTTGCGAAAAGGGTCACAGATTCTAATGCCACTCTCTATTTCCATCTGCTCTCTTTTCTATTTTGCAATGAGTCAGTAGAGAAGATTCGCGAGATCGTTTGTCGCATTGCCTGCCAAGTCTGCCCGGGATTTTCAGACTTTCCGCGTGCTTTCGAACAAGATGACAATGCATCGATGTAACCTCGAACGCATCGCTATGCGGAGCACCCCGTGTACAATCGTGTATTTAATTCTAATCGCCGTTCGTCATCCCATGTATGTGCTGATGTACGTAACTTGCAAAATTTTTCGCATATACACGCTCTTCACGAACTCGCTGCCTTAGTCGCAGATGCAACACCTGCGGATTCCCGCCCGTTTCATCATAGTCTAATAAAACTGATATTTTGAATTACGATCTGATAGAAGCTATTATAAAAATGGAAGGAGCGATGATAAAGAAAATTGCGAAATTGTAATTTTTCATGAAGACGTTTTAAAATCGCAAATACATAATTTTTGTTAACAAAGACTCTTTTAAGTGTAAAGATTGTATTTTTTAAGAAGAATTGAACAATTATGTAAATTACATGATTTAAAGACCTATTATTAATATAGTCTGCATGTATTACTGTAGTCTGCACGTTAAATTGCGAGCACGCTTATCGTACCTCGCCTCTTAATGTAAAGAGCAATTTACTTCATTACACTCGTTCAAGAAACAAAGTACTCGTATAAGACTATAGACGTGTTCTTTCATAACGCGCGAACGGTGTATTTAAGGAAATTTTAGAATCCTCGAGATAATCTTCCTATTTTCTGGCTTATGCCTATTACGTCATTCTGATTTTATATAGAACAAAACTGCTAAAAGTAGAATTAAAGGAAAAGAAAATATGTCTTTATATATCTTTTGAAATTAGCAAAAGTATGAAGCAAATTCGTCGTAAGAAAAGACATTCTCTCGTAAAACTTGTTTTTCTACGATTCTTCTATATTTTCTGAATGTTTTTTTCTACTCGTTCTGTCGATCCGTGAATGATTACGATAATTCTATCTATCTTGTCAATCGCATTACTCTCGTCATGCTACTTTGCACGTGATCGACACTTGAGCAATTAAAAGTTATTTGATTAAAATTCGACATCTATAATTTGTAACTCACGTGAGTGATCTCGATAATCGTAATGCGTGTTTATAATTAAATGAGAGTTATTGGGAGAAGACAAGGCATCGGTGATTAAAGCCGACATTACGCCATAAATCCTTACGCGCATCCTTAAATATGCTTCAGATCAAAACATTTATTCCCGTATAATTTATCTACCAATTAATGTTATTATATTGATTCGCAAAATATTTTCGATTATATTAATAATGAAAAACATGATGATTTGTGTGCCATCATATGCATTTCAATATTTATCTTATTAAATTATTCACTTCTTAATTTGATACAAATACTAAAGTTGAAAGAACATGGTTTTCATCGTGCTAATAAGATAGTCGTATTTTTTTTTGTAAATTAATATTTCGAATTAATATTTCGCTGTCGCATAATATTTTCTTCTAGCCAATTCACTGCTTAACTCGTAACCACTCGTAACATGTTTATGAAATTAAATATTTATGATGTAATCTCACAAATGTATGCCGCGGTATATGAATCACTGGCAAACCGCCTCGATTTGATTTTGACGTGAAATATGCACGTGTTGTACGATCGACTGCTTCAGATGTTCTTTCACTGCAAAATTCTTTGTGACAACAATTATAATAAATAAATATTCATGATTAATAATTAGGTTAACGATATTATATTTTCATGCGCGATATGCAGTTACATAATATTCTATACGTCATCAAAACTCATGCTATCAATACGCTAACTAATCTAATTACCTCGTTGATTAGATCTCTAATTAAAATATCCCTATATTGCAAACTTACTCCCTCTTACTCCAATTTGTTAATATTACATAACAACGGACTTACTTATTGTACTATCTATGGTCGCGTATTAACATTCTTGCATGAATGTCTCGTTTTCACAAACGAGATAAGCACCCAACGAGAATGAAAAATAATAAGTCAATTATATCGCTATGATTAGAATTCCACGATAACACGTCCTTGCACATGTCATGTAGAATGTCGATCGTTTACAAAAACGACGAAAGCTAGAATCGCTTCTTGTGGCGATAACGGTTTTATAAAGAGAGATTAATTACGTTTGGGATTGCGAAAGTTCTGGGAAGATGACAAGAATCGCTTGGAGCGATTATGGCCACTCATGCTGTCGTGTTGGAATTAACCGAAGAATTACTTTCTTATCTCGCTCAAATATTTCGCGCGGTGAACGTAATTACCAATTAATCCCACGATAACGTTGTAAATTGCATTTTGAAACATATGCAATTAATGCATCATGTTCTTTTAAAATAATTTTGTTGTGTATCTAAGATTACAGTAAAAAATAAAATTATATTAGAATTAAAGAACTTTAAAAAATATAATTAATTCTTTATCGAGAGTGAAAATATTTTTATATTATAAATTCTGTGAATCTCTTTTACAAATAAATAGAATGTATTATTATAGTTGTGAAACAATGGCCTTTTTACTGAATCAAAGCGAACTTCCGTCATTTATATATTTAAAAAAAATTGCAAAATCTTTGAAGAAGATTGCAAATACTTGTAATTTTGTTTCTTCTTTCTTTCTATTCTTGAATTGCAACATAAATTTGAAATCTGAAAGAGCTGAACAATATTATGATAAGCAAATTTGCAAAATAGTGAAAGACCACAGTTTCAAGGTGATCGAATGACACGTTCTTACAGTCGTGAATGATACATCTGTCATGCGATTGATTTAAAGAATCACAGTCAATTGTTCGATGCATTTGCGAAGTATAACGGTTCGACCTGATACAGAGACAGTTTTTGTTAACACATTGTACGCACAGGGATGTATTAGTGTCTAGGCTAACTTAAGCTATGCAGAGGCGGAAAATTTAAGGAGATGGCATTTTTTAAAAGAATTTTTTTAAAATTATGTTTTTGATGCAAATATTTGAAAAATTGTCCATTGGAGGCAATAACCACTTAGGAAACACACCAAATCGAGTGAAAGTCAAACTTACTTTATTTTTAACATTATAAAAGTCAAAATGATAATTTTTTTAATTACAAAGTTTAACTATTTATTAATATTAATAATTAAAATAAGTTATTTCGATATTTTATTGACTTTTATGCGTTTCTTGAGCAACATAATAATATAGAATTTGATTAATTTAGATTACATTTGAATAATGGACAGCAACGATTTGATTGCATAGGAATGGCATGAGTCCTAATCCGATCCTATGTATGCTCTGTCTCAATATTTCTTTAAGCTGGATTCTATAAATTTAGCTTAAAGTTTGCAAGTGTAATTGAGAAGAGTATTATAGATACGAACGCGACGAATCGATTGTGGCGTGATTCGCCCTATTGTGAACTTATTCTATTCCTTATGTCCGATGTGTCCGATGTCATGGCGATTACATAAAACGCCAATCCGTGTGTAATCAGACCACATGCGTGATCGACGTGGATAGACCGTGTCGATCTCGTATGCATCTTGAGAAGAATACATGTCTTTTTTTATATAATCCGATCTCGCGCTACTTCTTTTAGTATTTTGTTCGCGACGCGATTCATATCCGCGGTCTAATTTTCCAGAATCAGAAATGTATAATTATAATCGATCGTGCGAAGTGAATATCGCAGATGATTCAGCAATCGATTTGCAACGTTTAAATGTCAAAATATATACGTTTTATCTGGAAAAAAAGGAATTCATTATATTGATATAATTATCGTTAACTATATTGACTACTATTGTTCGTACGTATTTTTTAATCTTCAAAGGAAATCTCTAAGAAAAAAAAGTCATCTTTTTTTCTAATCTATCGATATTGGTATCGTATTGTGAAATAACCGGATATCTACGCAAATCTGACACACGTATAAAAAGTAATATAACATAATAATCTATTTTACTAAAAAATAATAGATGTTTCTCCATCTTGCAGATATCAATTTTAAGATTAATCTTTATTTTAAGTTCTATGCAATATGTATAATGTAAAAAACTGGATATTCAGTTTGCATGAATTTTTATTGAAGATGATATTTTGTCATGTTCTCAATTAATTTTATAATCGATGATTTTGTTTTAATAATGATAATAGCGTTTGAAGTTATCGCCAATAGAGGCGTTACAGTTTCGCCAATGTTTGATTAGTCAACGCCAATGTCGACGATGCGATGGTGTAAATGAACGTAGCACGTAGAATATATGAAACGTTATATTTGAAAGTATAGACAGAAGTTTTTTCCTCGTGATTTCTTCCTAGAAGAGAACATTAGCGTCGTCGACAGTTTCTTCTGCAAAATTAAGTCTGTGCACGAAAGGAAATCGTTGTAAGCGAAGAATATTGATTCGCTTGAGCTGTGTAACAGCTGACATCATACGTAATCATACCAACCTAATATCAAACACGTGACTCTTCTTGCAATCTGGCGCTTAATTTAAATGAAATAAGGAAACTTGACAGAATAGTGAGTTAAAAAAACGAAAGAATTATTTCACTGCGTAAACGCAATAAAAAAAAAAGTCGTATCGATTTCTTGTCTACAATTAGCTTTGCGTTCATCAATTTATTATTATTGAAATTGAATATCGAGGAGAAATTTGAAGTAATCGCGTATCTGATTCTCGCCACGATCGATAAGTGATAACACAAAGTAAATAGATCGTGACTAAACAACTATTTGCATAAGATTTAACTTTCGATTGATAGAGCGAATCAGCTATCCGTCGATAAGGTGAACCGTGTGATAAAGCGAGGTCGTACGATCGTCGATAGACAGAAAGAATCAGAGGCGAGATGTTGACTGTAATACGTAAAGCTACGCTCAGTCGTTTCTTGGAACTTTCAACGAATAGTTCGTCGTTACGCGCGCGCATCGTTGTCGCCAGAATGATGTCCTCCTGCAATCAGGATTATGATCAGAAAGTTGTCCCTAAGGATGAGGTTATTAGATTTATCAAGGAGAGCATGTGTAAAGTCGGTACCATGACAGAAGACGCATGCATCGTCGCTCATCAGCTAATGGTAGCGGATTACAGAGGTCATTTCAGCCATGGGATGAATCGATTGGAAATGTACATAACGGACATCGAAAAGAGAATCACCGATCCCACCGCTCGACCGCAGATTATCAATGATTTTCAGGTTCGCACAGATCTCTCTCATTAAACCTGTTTTTTTTAGCTGAACTTTTGTATCAGTTCATTTTTCTTCCTTTTCTCTTCCGAAGAGATGAAGAGGAAAAAAGATGAACTGTTGCAAAAGTTCAGCTAAAAAGAATAGGACTTTTCTCGGTGCTGCTGGTGGAATTTAAATATCGTGACAAAAAAGGATCCTTAATCCTTTCAGATCCTGTATACATGTAACATCAGATTATCTGGAAGACATTATCCATTGAAATTATTTAGTATTATCGAGTCATCATCTGAGATATTAAAATAGTCTAAATTTTGAAAAAAATTAATTTTTTAATAAATTATTTATTAAAGTACTTATTGAATTGAAATAAAAATTTTTTAATATGATTCCATTAAAATCAAGTTTGAAGAGGTTAAATCGTATAATTCACTCGTCTCACACACACTTTGATATTTTATAATTCATGTTTCTAATGAAGCCATTCGTATATATTTGTATAAGATATTTGTAAAGATATTCGTTATCAATTAATTGCAGCGAATGTCATCAATGACGTAAATGTTTTTCGAGCCAATAAGAAGGTACATTTGATACCATAAAAAATGGTATTTACTTGTTCCACAGCAATGATGATGGGATAACTCTTTCTTTTCTCTCTGAAGCTGCCTTTGTAAGATCGACCTTCATATCTTAACAACCGATGACCTAATAAGATACTCGTTCCTCTGATTAATAGAATTTGCTTTTTTTGCTGATAAAGACATTTATCGCCGTATATCTTACATGTTTCCTTTATCATATTTTCAATCAATCGTAAATATTAAGTAGTAATTGTAATTTCGCTGTAAAGCGGTTGTTTTGTATCAGTATTTATTGTATTTTTGTACTCAATTGGATAAAATCATTTATGTTATCTTCCTTAAAACAGAACACTTTTTGAATAGAATTCTATTGGCAATTTGACAATTGGCAACACGAACGTTAATTACTGCTATCGTAATTATCTTTTAGAATAGCATTGCGAAAATCGCCAGCACGGTCGGAAGCACGTGCGCAATAATTTATCAGATAAACGCGCCGATAATTTGGCGATCGATAATAAATGTGTGAACAATAATTAGCACGGCTCTAATTACTTTTCGAAGCGTATCTTTACTCGCGAGAATTGCAGGTGTCATCGGAAATATGTGCGCTTGCATGTATAATACGATTACACTCGAGCGTGATACGTGTTTAGCGAATCAAACGTAATAAATGCAATCTTAGTATCACTCAGAAACTCACGTATAAAAGATTGTTACTTTAAATACAAAACGCTGAATGTTAAGATATTGAACTATTGTATATATTCATTTAAATGAATATATTTTAAAATATTTAAAATATTTTTATTTTCAATTCGCGTATAAAATATTTTTTGTTTTCAAAATTTTTTGTTTTAAAGAAGCAATGTTGCAGAAAAGTATATGAAAGCGAAACTAGATTACGACTTCAAGTTCCACCAGACTCGCCAGACTTAAGGGATTATAGACTTTGTATAGCTATAATATTTAAATATTTTGCATACCTTTCAGGCGGTAGCCCTCGTTGATGGAAAAAACGGGTTAGGTCAAGTGGTCGGCAAATATTGCATGGAGCTTGCCATAGAGAAGGCCAAAAAATTCGGTATCGGCATGGTGGCGGCACGTGGCTCTAATCACTACGGCATCAGTGGTTACTACACCATGATGGCGATGGAACAAGGACTGATCGGTTTCAATTGTACTAACACGAGTCCACTGATGGTACCGACGCGCAGCACAAAATCCGCTCTAGGAACGAATCCCTTGTCTTTCGGTATGTCCACCTGCGACGGCGATGAGTTTCTTCTTGATATGGCAACCACAGCCGTTGCCTTGGGCAAGATCGAGTTAGCCGTTCAGAAGAACGAGAACATTCCCGAGGGCTGGGCACTTGGATCTGACGGAAAAGTGACCTGTAATGCCGAAGAGGCTTACAGAGTTTCTTCATTATTGCCTCTCGGTGGCAGCGAACGCAATTCTGGATACAAGGGTTATGGTCTGGGTCTGATGGTTGAGATACTCTGTGGTATCCTGAGCGCAAGTCATTTCGGACTGAACATCCGCAACTGGAAGTCCGGCGATACAGCCGCCAATCTCGGACATTGCTTTATAGTCATTAATCCGAATGCCTTTGATTGCGGATCAAAAGAGAGATTGACGATCCTGCTCAAACAGATGAGAGACCTACCTTCCTTCTGCAACGAGCCAGTTCTGATTGCCGGTGATCCCGAAAAACAACACATGAAAAAAGTCGACATGGAGGGCGGTTTGACGTATCATTCAAATCAATTAAAGATTTTGCAAGAAATCTCTAAACGCATAGGCGTACGACCGTTGAAACTCATATCTAAATCCGTTTGATTTTTTAGTTATCAGCAAAAAATTAATCTATTCTATCTAATTTCATTTCTTTTATATATTGATCGTTCGTCTATTTTTAATAAATTCTAATATGAAAAAAAAGATAATCGAAAATTAATTAAATGCTAACTTAATTGTTGTAATAAAGAAAATATATTAAAATTATTGTAATAAAGAAATATCTATTTTGAAGAAGAATATCTATTTTGATATTATATGATGACTAATATATGAACATTATGTAATACTTAACAATTTTCTACTTAAATTGCGTCCAAAAATGATCATATATGCTTTATGAAATGAGTACTTTCAAATATAACGTAACAAGACTGATGTAAGACCTACTTATGAAAGCCAATGAGACATTTATATCAATCTCAGAATTGTACAAATAATATTTATGCCGAGGCAAATCAGATCGCGTGTGCAATTCGATGATTTGAGCAGATATGATGTTCGCTACGATGATATAACCAGCATTGCGGTTTGATCGCCAGTCGATGATGATGGCCTTGGACTTGTCCGCTCGTTCTCGATTACAGTCGTTATGTCTTTGCGAATGGGTTTCGATAATATGAAACATAGCAGATTATTGAAAACAAATAAGTCGCAAAACACGCGAGATCATTTTATAAGTACTACAAATTAATTACATTTTTTTGCTTGTGCGATGGTGCCTTCTTGAAAAGAGATTTTGTGCATATAAATTAATATAAATAAAATACAAACATAAATATTATTTTTTATAACAATTATATTGGTTGTGGCTTTGCAGAGTATAGATTTTAATATATAATATATATTAAAATATGTATGTATACATATATACAAACATATGTATCTTATAATAATATTAGGTCTGCTTTCTATTCCTGCACTAGAATTCTCTTTCTCACTCTCGCCAAACATATACCTATCTTACTTAAATTCCTATCTTACTTAAATTCCAAAAGTGTACACTAGATCAGCTATAAAAAATAGAATCATTGTATACAATAATGTTAAATTGCAGTATTCCTTTTCTTTACCAATACTCGTATAAAATATATTCTCATAAATTAATTTTAAATTTCAAGAAACTCTTCTATTTATTTGCTCGCTTTTTAGTTCGAAAACAGTGAATAGGGTTATCAAGCGACATAGACGCAGCGTCTGATTCGCATATCAGTTCCTATCAAAAGAGAACAAGATATAAATGCTAATGTTTGTTTTTAATTTCTCAGAATCAAAAGTTAACGGAATGAATAGATAAAAAATTTAATTCGTTCTATGAGGTCTAGAGTGATCCGTTTTACAATAATTTTCCGTCAAAGATTTTGTTATAGATCTTTCTTAAGCAGCACTGAAACACTTGATTTCCTCACCAGATTTGTTACAATAATAGATCTTTGAGAATTTATTGATAAAATTTCTGTCGAATGATCGAAAGATTGCCTCCCCACAAATATATGTTGCGTGTTTGAGATGAGAAAATTGCAATGTTGCGTTCTCTCAGTCGATAGAAATTTGACATAACATTTATTTTTATTATTTTATTATTATATATTTTTCTCTTATATGTTAAACAAATCTAATTATGATTATCTCTCTCGTTTGTATTTCTAAAAATCTCATAAAATTTCATAAATAACTGTAAATACTTCTGCAATAGTGCTACATTAACGTATAACAGTGTTCGTCGAGTACAATGAAATTAGAGCTTCTCGCGGCGAAGGTTGGTTGCAATTATCACCATTGACTTTATTTTGAAAAGACAATCTACATAAACGATTATATATGAAGAAAAGAATCAGTCTTAAGAAAGGCGATTTTACGGAAAACTCTTAAGAATATATAAGTGTTAATCAACCATTGGTAGCGTGAATCTTAAAATCTATTCTTTACAGTCGTTTGTTTAAACCTATTGTTATATTGCATAACGGAATTTTTCCTTCTAGAAAAATTTACGCATTAATTTTCAAAAAGAATGTACTGCTTATACCCACATTCTGCTTTTCGAGAGATAAACAACCGTGACGAGCGATTCGACTCCGCATATTTTTCAGTCCGACGGAATCAGCAAATGCACAGGAGGTTCAAAAGTTATCTTCGGCATGCTTTGTTTGTCCTCGTATTATCGAGCAGACAGGAATGAAACGCTGTTCCATCTTGCTTTTTCATGCGATAACGCGGCTCGTCGATCCTAGAAGTAATTAAATACTTAAATGAAAAATATGTTATTGCACGAAATCATCACTGTTAACGATAAAGTCGAAAATAAAAATTCAAACTTGTTTCTAAAAATTTGCATAATTTATATTCTGTGACTCAGACAGATGATCGACGAATTAGTAGCAAAGCACGATTTGCTAAGAGAGAACTATGTGACTCATTAAAAATGCCGTCGGCTAATAGCTGATGTTAATTAGACTTATCTCTTTGTTGAATCTCTGATTAAACGTTCAATAATCACGTTCAATAATCATATATATTTCCTTATCAATAGGTAGTTCTTCGAAGAAATAAATCCACGAACGTTTGGCAAAAAACATTTACAAAAAATATTAATTAACTTTGCTAGAGTGTAATTTATGTGTAATTAATTGCAAAATATTTAATTTTCTAAATATAATTGAGATAAATAATTTGTATTTATTGTAATCGTCGAAATTTATTATTAATCGTTCATTATTATAATAATCGTGCTTAATAATTTTTTTAATATTGCGTCTTACGATAAAATTTTCATATACGCATGTGATTTGCAAATCACGCGCTCGTGCAATTTGTTGAAGGAAAAAGGAACACGATAAGGATTGTTGAGCCCACGATGTGACTCATCTTTCCGTCGCGGCTAAACAGGAAGGAAGATCCAATAACTGGACAAATGATCTTGTCCAAAATGCAATAGTCTACACTGTTGATACATCACGGGCACAATAATTCATCGCTGCTCCATGTGACTCGCATTAACTAATTCACTGCGATCTAACATACTGTCAGGGGGTCATGGAACCCATGGGACATCCGTGGCGTTCTGAGACTTCCATTCCCATGACGGTTTCAACCGCCTTTAATGTTTGTCAAATGAAGCGCCCGCTGATATATCTCTAGTGTACATTATAAATACTCTATATCTTTTATTTGTACGTAAGAAATGCTTTTCAGTTATCTGAAGATAAAGACTTTATTACTTAAGCGAGATCACGTGAAAAAATGGCGAAACGGGAAGACATTATGATTTAACGAATAACATTCGATTCGTATTCGTATTCACATCCGCGTCTGTTGTAACTGCAATCACGAGTTTAATATAGCAGGTTTAATAAATCAAAGTATTTAATGACAATGCATAATATTGCGATGATTGATGAACTTTCGTCACGTGCAAAAGCAAGCTCGTGAGAACACGAGCTTAAATGAAAAATATCGAAAATATGTTCGAATCACAAGGGAAAGTACAAAAGCGTAATAAAAAAAATATATTAATTCTCGTACAATGATGTTTGTGTGCGAGAATGTAAAAATGCTTGTTGATTCAGAAACTATTAAGAGATCAGTTTATTCTCGGAAAAAATTTATCTCGGGTTTATACTGACAATGAATTAACAATCAACACTTTTTAGGATTCTTCATCTCTTCGTCTTCATTAATTATCATATTGTTGTTGATATTTATTATCAGTGATCAGCAAAAATAAGCGCAATCTGCATGATTTCTTTATGAATCGCCTCACAATGTTTTGTTCGATACAGTTTCACGAATTTTTCGCGCTGCACAAATTAATTAACGCAGTCATGAATATGCAAAACTCGGCGAAATAATATTTTCGTAATTGAAGAAGGTCAACACCTTCTGACGTCTTTTTTCTGACGTCTTTCTTATGATTATACAAAAATGTCTAATTGTTAAACCAATTAATCAGACGTCGCCAAAGAGATATATTGTATATATGGCCCATTTTACTTTTAGTTTTTGTGCTTCGTGCTTTCGAAAATATAAGCGATACTTGCCATCCATCTGTATTATTTAAATGGATTCGATATTTCTGGAAATGGAGGTAACATATTATCGATATCGATTATCGCTTCTTTTCTTCCACTATCATTTCTCTCGCATGGCAATTTTCAAATTCCTTGACATGGTTAAGAAAAAGCATGATAAAACATTTTGTGAATCTTAGCCGTGACGAAAGAGGCGTTACATTATCGGAAGTTACTTTATCGTGTAGCGCAAATTTGCGTACTCGGCGGAGCTTTTGAGCGTACTACGCGCATAGTATTATCTTTTTGCACATCTCGGTGTCCAATGTAGAAATAAGACGATAAACAAACGACTTTTACAGCCCGATCGGTCAACAATTAGCTCCTTTCTTGCGGCCGGATCTTGTTTAATTATTCTGCATCTCGCTTTCGAGAATCACTCTACATTCAACCGTGCGAGGAGGTACGTAACGATATATCGTCTTTAATATCGTGACTATACGTTACTTTGGACGGTACAAGATCAATTTAATATCCGCTGCAAAATTAAACTTTACATTCGTTCCTTATGGATTAATCACGAGCTGTGTTTATTTTGTCATATACTGTGAATGTGGATGGACATTGTAAGTAATCCATATAGAAAATTAAACATCTATTATTTAAAAATAATATCTATTTAAAAATAATATAATACCGGGAGATATATCGGAGATGTCATCGATCGGAGCTGACGGCCGGCGCTGGTTAAGACGACCATTCATCAAATTACGTGGTAATTTTGGTCAATGATAACTCATGACTTTGAAGGCAGCTTCCTACGAGCCCTCGTCGAGGGAAGTAGCCAATTGTCGTGTACGGCTTTCGTACAGTCGCTACTAGAAATGCCGCCAATAAGATTTCTCTCGTGATAATATTTTGATAGAATCAGTTACATTTACAATCAATGCATAACGCATAATTTTTTTATAAATTTCTGTTGCCTGCAGAGAATTGATCATAAAATTTTCTCACACATGACTTATTGCACGCAAATTAATTTTTAACCCTCTCTTTCTCTTTATAATGTGAATCGAACTGTTGTAGGATGTTGATTGATAATTATTGGCATTTTTTAATAATAAATTATAAAATGGTCGACTTGATTAACGCAAAAAATAAGTGTAGAACATGTAAATGTAAACATAGTTTGCTCTCAAAGGCAAATAGTGACCACTTTTTTTTTCTAAATTGAATTAATATACTCGAATTAAATTAAAATATTGAATTTGACAAGAAGATAGCGATTTTTTTCTAGCACTACGACGTACGCGAGGTGACAATGGGCAATTTAACCGGCTGTGGGGGGAAAATCGCGCGTGTATATACGTGTGCAACGTCGACAGCTGTCAGTGCGATCTAATGAGTCCGTAAATTGGACCAGGCTATAGGGCCTTCTATCTGAGAATTGCACGGTTGGCTCTCTCATCTCGCTGTCAGTGTGACTTCGTGTGCGACGAGTTCTCGCTTGCGATTCTCGAACTTTCTACATTCTTCCCTGCCGATTTGTCGCGTTTCTCTCAGCGTATATCCGGTGTCAGTGTTACGGTGCTAATCCCTTTCCTCGTTACTCCCCCGTCCACGGAAAGGCTCCAAATCGGTTTTAGTTTTACTGCGACTATTCCACGAAAAAGAAAGAAACGGCGAAACTCTACGAGTTCAATGTATCACGAGAAAATTGGTTCGTCGCAAAAACGCTTTTGGGCACGGCGAAGCGAGACAATCGGCTGTCAATCGATTCTTCCATTCTCTCTGGGGAATATGGAACTATATATTTAGCATGCAGAGAAGGAGAATGTCGTAAAATATTAATGCATTGCGAGGAAATATCGAACGACTGCACGCGCGCAGGTGCATAATCTGTGAAATCGACGCGATCGACGGACAGCGCAAAAATGGCGAGTCAAACCGTAAAGAAGGAACTTCTGGAGGAGACTCTACATCATCATCCGGAAGGTAGCGAGGAGGAAGTGGATAAAGAATGGGAGGAGTTCACGAGACTAATGGCGAAGTTAAAGGAAAATCGGCGGAATCGACCACACAGGTACATTCACGCGGAATGTTCCTCCCTGATCTTAATAGCAAAAAGCAAAAAAGCATCAAAATTTCGAGAAAAAGAAATTTAATATTTGAATGTAAAATTTAAAAAAATTTTCAAAGAAAACGAAAGATCAAATAATTGGATGCGGATTTAGAAGCAAACAATTCAAATTTTCTAATATTATATTAAAATTGTTTAAAAATGGAAGAATAGGATTAAGTAGCAAAATTTGAACCTGGAATCTTTTTTTAGACCGTCGCAAGCTTTTTATCCGTGTCCTCCAGCATATGCTGATGAAGAGCAGCAAGAGTTCGATCCTTTCGACTATATTAACACGATTGTAAGCAGTTCTCTTTTGGAAATAAGTTCACTTCTCAGTCTTTTTCTGTTCCTTAAAGTCACCGCAAATATTAGCGTACGCTACTTATATGAGCATGCAGTTTGGAAATAGCCGCACTAAAACGCTTTATCGCTAGTTTTTCCAATGTTTCGAAGTTACTTTATTTCAGTGACGATTTTTAAATTTTTAAATTTATAGTCAAAGACTATAATTGAAGGCATTTACAATCGTGTATTACATGAGTTACTGCAGTAAAATTTGCTAATAACGTTAATGACTACACCTTATAATTAAACCGCAAATATTGTTGCAAATATTATTGCAAAAAAATCCAAGACTATTTGTCAACATCCGTTATGCGTTAAGTTGAATATTCATTGTAATATATCTTTTTTTTTATCAAGTTTTTTTAAATTTGATGTTATATTCAAATTATATATATATATATAATAATCGCTAAAGATTTTAGCAGATTATTCGCTTATCATATATATTTAAAGTTCCACGTTTCTCATCTGGAACTAATATTTCCTAATTAAATTACTGACTCAACTAGCTTTGACATAACGACGCGATGATTTGTCTAAGATTTTCTATGGTTCGTAAACTGCATTCTGCAACACTGAACCCAATAGTGCGACCTTTGGATAATTGCCAAGTAGGCGAGACTACATTTCAAATAAATGATTTCGCGAGATGGTTATTAGATACAGCTGCATTGAAGGAACGTGCATATTTTTTTTTTATGCAAAGCATTTCTGACAGTTAACGACATAATTTTAAGATGTCAAGTTCGACATTTAACATATATATTATTTTATTATATTTCGCGTTATCTTATTGGCGCCAAAACACGTTTCTCATTACGTGAGTGCATTACAAAAAAATGGTTGATTCTTAATACTTGAAATGTACGTACACAATGAATCTTGACGTATCATTCGAGAAATATCGGTCTTGTCTTGTAATGTTTAATGCTGCATATCGAAATCTTTAAGCAAATTTGAAAGTGCTGACCGGCATGAATCTTAATATTTGCACAAAACTATATAGAGGAAAAATCTCAATTTGCATTTCTCTTTTGTACACTGGGATGAAAATCTGCTTGGAATCCTAATTGAAAAGGGACAAATCAGAATTTTCTGATTGAATCTATTATAATTCTAATTGAGAATAGATAGAATATTCTAATTGATATTAAAATCTTCCGGTTTATTCATTTTCAATCAGATCATTTTTCTTAATGTATACTCCTTATCAGAATATGAAAAGGATTTTCAATTTAATCGATTATAAATATCTGCATAATTTAAGAAGTATAAATCCACATATATGTTTTTGCTGCGATATCTCGCACAATGTAATTCTTTCTTACAATTGTATTTATTTGTAATGAATATTTTATAAAATATACTTACAAAAATGCATTATATAATATACAGCAACAGAAGCCTATAATAAATGTTTCTCATGTAATCCTGCTTAGGTATTACGGTGTGTCTTCTCGTATTGCGAAATTTACGATTTACTTCGGGCAGGTTTGAGTAAACGGGACGTTCACGATTTATTGGCAGTTCCGCATAATACGATGCGATATTAAGTAACCACTGTAATCTGTCAAGTATTATATGAGCGACAGGTGTCCCTTTTTCATATCTCGTTACAAATTGAAAATTGCGACGCTCGGACTGACTGTTATTTCGCGAAAACAATACGTTTTCCCGACAAGCAAGGTTTAACAACGCATGGTAACAATTCACATTAGTCATCGCAATTAACCAGTTGATCAGCTGCCAACGAATCGCGAACAATTCTCGCGACTGTTTCATAATTCGCGGCGGTATAAATGCGGAGTCTCAAACGTTTGTAAGTACTTATAATGCAAGAACGTCTGCGGGCGATTGAATTGTGGCAAAGATCAAAGAATCAACGTCAAATTTCGCACACTATTAAATATGTATAGCAAATTTAATATCATCTAAATAGTTAATTATAATGACCGTTATATTATAAATAACTGTTATATTATAAATTAGTTAGTCTGTTGATAAACTAGTTCAGTCTGCTGATATCTCTTGTAAATACTTTAATTTACATCAGGTAGCTAAATTGCCTGGTAGCAGGAGACTCTGATTTATATCGTTTATGCAAAGCGTCCAAGGTGGATTTGAGAAAATTCTAATAGTGCGTATAATTTCGTGTACCCGCGTATTAATTTTCGCAAAGCTTTATAATTCAAAGGGGTATGCGCGATCTTTGCAGAGACGCCTTTCTAAACAATGCTTTTATGCACGAATGAGCTCTTAAGGACTCTTTATGCTTATCGAGCACGCGTGACTAGCATGAAGAGATCCTCATGTTATCATGACACATACACGTATA